ATACAGTTCTGGCCTGATGTAGTCGGCTCTTTGCGCAATTGCAATAGTCTGAAATCTCGTCCGAATACCCCTTCTATATTATTTCCGTCATGGCAGTCTCGTCCAACCTGTACTGTGTTCAAAAAACTCTTGATTTCGAGTTATCATTACTGAAAAATCAATTTTTAGCGAGCTTGTTTCTTTGTGGCGGTCTCGGCTCTCGTGTTATGCTTATTCTCAACGGGTTGTATGTTCTTCGGCGTGTATTCTGTGAATCTCTGGCTAGACGTTATATTGATTGTATTAAATGCCGTCGCAGCTATTTTTGTTCTTATCGGTCTTTACACGGAGAAACCGGGATTCCTTATTCCATTTATTGTGAGTGAGGTGAGGTGCATTTTTTATAATCGTCTATAATCGTTAATAATATTAATATATAATAATTATGATCGTTTCTACTCTGGTAACATTTAGCGGTTACCCATATGCGTAGCACTAGACCCGTCGTGCGCGGCTAATGGACAGCTACCAAACTACAGTGCAAGTGTCATTGTGCCTCTGCGTCTCTGTCCACTAGTCGCGCGGTAAGCCACGTGCACTGTACTCGAGAGGCCATTCTCGAATCATTCTCACTAACAAGATCTTGTGATTTTGAGCAATATTGCTGGAAGTACTCCCACATAGCATTAACGTGATTGAAGAAATATTAGTGAAAATTTTTTAAATTGTTTTTTCAAATTTAATTTTCAGATCGTTCAATGTGTAGGATTTTTTCTTCTGGCAACGTACACTCTATATTACACGATTGTGATAAAGCGGCAACGTTTCTATCAGAAGTTTGGTGAGCATTAACCTAACAGTTTCTACAACCAATATTTAAATGAATTAAAATTTACGTCAACACAATTTTTTAAAACGAATATTCAAATGTGTAAAAGTACGTCAAGCGCTCGAAAAAAGNGGGGTTTCAGCAGTTCAACCTTGTTGAGGAGTGATTTGAGGGGAGTAACTTACTGGGCAAACTACTTATTGGATCCCAAATAGCAAAACTCTGCCATGGCTACTTTCATGAAGAGAAGTCCCGCTAAAAATCGTTGCTTGCTATTTCTGATTATGAATTCTCAAGTGAGACCAACAATCCTCTTTAATTGAAGCCATCAATATTCAAATGCTCGAGATAATCAGCTTATTTCTTCAAGGAAAAACATTGAAGTAATGAGAAAAACTGCTGTCCTCTGCAAAATGCATTTGCATGTGCATTTGCAAAGAGATCGACAAATATGTACAAGTGTACCAGTATAAGAAAACAAGTATGAACTGGAAAGTCATCAATTTAACTCCTTCAAGGTTAGGCCATCTAAAAATTAAAGCTTCTCTTCACAACATTTCAAAGATGCCTACTGTGGTAGCTCTGTCTTGAATGTATCCCTATCTAAGATGGGACTTACTGGTAAAGAGCTTCTGAGACCTCGCTTTTTGTAGAGAAGAATAAAAGTTAAATTAAAGGTTGAAGTAATGTGGGTTAAAAAGTACTGCCATAGCTCCTGCAGATATAAATCCCATACGTGCCAGTAGACCTACTTGTCTCGCGAAATCGGTACCAGGCTACACTTTTACGGGGCGATGACTAAGTTTAAAAAAAGGGAAATGGCTCTTTCTAGAAGATTCAGTTCAAACTCCCGAATCAATTTTCGACTGTTTATATTTTTGCTCAGAATTTCCAGCTTTTCTTGGAGGGCTTTAAACGATTATTCACATGAGCTCCAATTACGTAGGGATTCCATGGAGGTATTGGAGGTATGGAGTAAGCTGGGATAGTTTGGCTTCACCCTATGAAACAGTATGACGTATTAGAATTAAGCTGACATTTAAGATTTTCGGTGCCCATAATCTTCTGTATCACCTGTCGTCCCGTTGATTATCGATTTCCTCGAGCGGGCGCCAGTAACGTCTCTATTCGTCCGTCTCACGAGCCAAAGTGATCCAGTGAATCGTCCTCGCTTCAGGGACACGAGGCTCAGCATTCTTTTCGTTCAGAGCTCCCGTAAAGAAGTCTGACCGTCTTGTTGGCGATTTCGTAGGTGGAAACCAAGTAGTGGGAGCAATTTGTCCAGCTGATCTGATTGTGAGGAGGAAATCCCATCGATCGATACCTGCGCAGCTCAATCAAGCCCCCCATCCCTGTAGAGTTTGTGAATTAGGGCTAGACTTTCTGGGAGGCCAAAATATTACTTTGAGTAGGCCCATTGATTGCATTGCTCAAACGCCTTTTGATAAGACTTCCCGTATGGGTGGATTCCGAGGCCATTGTTCAGCTCTCATGAGACCATTTCCTTTCCTATATCCCTGCATGGGTATTACTATTATTATAGTACTAGATCAAAAAAATTGTGCGGAAATGAAATAAACTTCTAATTGAAAGGTTACAAGGATTTCTAATGATCAAGAATCTCTGCATAATTTCATTATTGTGGACCGAACCGGCCTAACTCTCCGTTTTTCAGATCAAATCCTGATGATTGCATCGATATATCTGGGAATTCTTGTATGTGCCCAGGCAACGTGGGTGACAAATCGATGCTATCACTATCTTCGATCACGACGTTCTCGATCAGATTGTAATGGAGTCTCACATTCATTCTGGGGATGAGACGCCTCCACACAACATTCCTTGATGAAGTTCGAGCTGATTGTCCGTCGAAGAATGGGTCTGTTCTCGAAGCAGACGACGATCCAGCCGCCCACTTGGTCGCTTGTCCTCCATATCGTTCCCCACTCGTCAACCTTTCCCTATGTCATCTTAAAAGCGCCTTATTAGGCCCTGGCCCCACCTTCCTACTCTTGATCTCTCACATTGTATGCACATTACGAATGTGCTTTATCGAGAATGTGCACTTGCATACATATTTTTCGATTTCCAATAATAGGAAGTAAGTTATACGCAACTATTTTTGAATACATCATTATTTGTGAAAATTCCTGGAATTTTCGTCATATTGATAAATTTATTATGAGCTGAAGTTCTAAGATATATTCAGATAGTTACTCAGTAATCAGGGGAACTCAGTCCACGAAAAATCGTTGCTGCTGTAGCTTAGGAATCGTGGTAGGTAGTAACGCCGCCTCCCGTTGGTGGACTACCCGTGATGACCAATCACAAACCACGCTGGAACTGTTAACACCAATTACAAACCCATTTCTACGCCTAGTATAGACTGTTCGTACGCTACCACATACGATATCTTATGACAAACTTATTTTAAGCTTAATAGAAGTTTTAGGTTCCGGAGTTAGGAAATGGTCAATCAGAAAGGTTTGAAGAATTAAAGTTCAAAGAAGACCAAAATGCGAGAAGCCTGAAAAGAGCGTCCGTACAATTTTAATATTTGCTTGGTAATTGACGTATGGTATCCCTAGTGCGTTTATAGTTCGCGGATCATCTCTAGGATCAGATGTCCTGTGATGTCCTGTTTGATCCGTCCTGTCCTCTTCCAGAGAGTAATTGATACCAGTGCCTACAAGATTAGTCTGGGAGGATAAAAGTATAGTAAGGTTGACTTTGAAAAGGAGCGCATCAATTAGAACCAAACTTGCCTACATTGTCAATGTTGCTCTGCCCTACGGGTGTGGTGCAGTAGGGTCAAAATTGTCGCATCGCCGCGCGCGAAGGAATGTAGCAGAGTGCTGCAGCAGGTAAGAAATACTGGAACAGAAAAACTAACAGTAGAATCACGCCTTAAATAATGATCTCATATCGATTGAGCTGTATGAAGAACGCTGGAGCTGTAATAACGGCGAAGCGAATGGTCTGCGACAGCCGCGTGCGGCGAATCGATT